GCATCCTTTCCCCCAGAGAATCAGGGGTGTCACGAGACTTGAGAAGTTAGGAGAGGGAGCTGGCCTCGGCATTATTTAAACTTTTGATACCATTCCTGATAGACATCTGGGTTTTGGGAATGTGTCATTTCTGTTAACTTATGTAGATGAACACGCTGCCAAATAATACAACTTAGAGCTCAGAGCGGACCCTGACACCCACCCCGAGTGAGCGGACAAAGCTAAGAGCCGGAAGCGGAATGTGGCCGTCGCTGGCGTAGGCCCTGGCTGTCTGGAAAGAAGAGTCTATGTCTAAGGTAGCGTGCCTGCCTTAGCTCCATGCATGCTGAATGCCCTCCCATCCACCTGCACTGCTAGGTCAAATTTATTGTAATCATAAATCAAGTTTAGAAGACAGCGTGTACGTTCGACCGCATAGCATCAACATCTTTAGAATCCATTATAACATGCTGTAGTTGCCACGACCAGTGTCTCCAGCCCACACAGTCCTACGTTTTGTAGGTCATGGACAAAAGACCAGAGAAGTGTGCACAGCATCAGAGAACGTGATGAGAGGGACCCTACGGAGCCTGTCTGTGACCCAATCAGTCTCGCCATTGATGAGGCCCACGAGAAGGTTCTGAACTAAAGATGGAAATAGGTGTGCCTGAAGCCTTAGACACACCTATTTACCCTACTCCTAATCAGGAACAGCTTACAGATAGAACATTCTGGAACAACATCAGACTCCATGGACTGACTGCCCGGCCCCTCCACATTTCCCTGTGTGCCTCTCTTTCCTACCAAGCGTTATTCCACCGTGAACTTCTAATTCTCCCTCTTCATTTATAAGTTATATTTTCATCTCATCCAGAAGATGAGCAAAGCAAAGACAGGAATCCATGAATATACACTGAGTAATAACGCCATTTAGTCTCTCAGGACCATCGTAAATTCAACTTTTGACATATGCCTTCATAATCTTAAAGTCGCTAAAGGAGGAAATGAAAGGTTGTAGGAAAACTTCTTGAAACCATTTCCACATGAAAACTAGTCTAAATTTGTCTCAGACTTTTCTCTTCATTGAAATATTTTCTTCTGTGACATTTCTAAAGAGTTGTGGCAGCCTAAAAATGTCCTCAATGGACAGTGACTGATAGGCTTGCTTCTACTTTTTGAAACTTTAACTTTACAAATTAAAAACAGACATTGTGATAAGATACCAGTTGTAGGTTCTGCAATGGTCATACGTTTTGTACTTAGTACTAAGGGTATCTCTGACTTCAGCTACCAAAAAGGAAAATACTTCTCTCAGAAGTCTAACATCAAATATCTTCTTATCTTTGCTACACATAATCACACTTGTTAGCAAACATCATTAAATATAAATCACTCAGATAACGTTTAAATATGTACTAATATGAATAGTCCTCTGCAAAGCTATGACTTCAGTAGAATGGCCTTGAACACCACCCTTCTCCTCTCTGATGGGCTGACTTCCTCCCGTGAAACATCCACTTTTCCTTTTCATAGGCAAGGTCTCTGGCTCATGGTCAGGCACCCCTGGGCGCCTGCAACTGGCCAGCACACCGGGGACACCGGGGACAAGCACCGGGCACACAAAAGCTCTCTGTGAAATACGATCTTGGAATGCAACCTAGACCTGTTTCATGAACATAAAATGGCGTGAGGCCAGTCATCAAAGGATTTACAATGACAAATGCATTTGCCGATTTGGTTATGATAAATTTCAAAAGGTGGATTTTACGCGTCAACCACCTTCATGCATTTGGGGGCCTGGCAAAAAGGCATCACTCCAGCAAAACCTGGTCAAAGGACGGTAAGCTTTTACATCAGTGGAGAGCACATTTCTCAAATGACAGCAAAGACATCATTTTAGATAGCATATAAATATGTAAGTAGTGAATAGTCACAAAACCCAATGATTATAACATGAGGTGGTTTAATTGAAAAAGATATAAAAAGAAGCTGGATAGTATTCCAGATGCTGGTTCTTGCTATTTAGAGAAAAAGCAAATTAATATGTTTAAGGTTTGGATATGTGGGGGAAAAGCATTAATAAATAGGTTCTATTCCTTTTTACTAAGAATGTACTCTACTAGACACTATCCATTAGAAAAATAAGTTTAAGCCCTGGCTGGTGGAGCTCAGTGGATTGAGTGCGGGCTGCGAACCAAAGTATCGCAGGTTCGATTCCCAGCCAGGGCACATGCCTGGGTTGCAGGCCACAGCCCCCAGCAACTGCACATTGATGTCTCTCTCTCTCTCTCTCTCTCTCTCTCTCTTTCTCCCTCCCATCCCTCTCTATAAATAAATAAATAAATCTTTAAAAAAAAGAAAAATAAATTTACATGTTCTTCACTTATGGAAATAAAATTTTGGATGGTACTTTTCCTTGATGACATTGAGTCTTCCCATAACTGTAAGGAGGTGTGGTCACCAGGCATCCATCACACCACACATATCAAGTAAAGAAACAGGGAAAAGCCAGTGTGCTCCCAGCATCACGTCCAGTGACCTCCACATTTCACTTGTGAATGACTGATATTCTCAGTGGAAATCAGTGATGCTCTGTCCCCTGAGGAATCAGAAGATACCTCTTTGAATACAATACTCGAGAAAATAAAAAAGCGTGAGAGCCGATTATGGGACCCCCAATGTAAGTGTAAAGCTGCTTATTTTCAGTATCAGTTCCTTTTTTCTTCCCCCAAAGGAGCGTGGACCTCCTGAGAGACTTGTGATGCCCGTGGGTTTGCAGATGCTGGGGTTGATCTCTGGCCTGTGTTTTCACAGCCCCCCCTCCCTGCACGGTCTTACGCCAACGCCCATTCCAAACCATCCCGCTTAACTCCTGCCAGACTGACATTCCTCAGATACCAGCGCAGCGCCGTGGAAATAGCTCTGGACCCAGACAGACAGGGCCCAGAAGCCCGGCCCCGGCCCTTGCTCTGTCTGCAGCGTCACACAAATCATCTGACATTTCTGGATGTCAGATCCCTTCGTGTGCGAAATGAAGATAACATGTAAAATGAAGCTCATCTTACTCTACGGCTTTCAAAATCAGAGATGCATATGTAAATCATCTTGCATATAGGAAACATATGTGTTGGTAGGAGGAGGAGGAGGAGGAGGAGGATGATGATGGAGGAGGAGAAGGAGGAGAAAAGGGAACAGCGACTCTGTCTCTTCAGAAATGTGCAATTGCCCCACTGTACATAAAGGGGCAAAGTGACTCTGCATGGATTTTTAGATGTCCCACAACTTTCTCCCACTCTCTCCACTGAGCACAGTGTCTGCTGCTGACATAGGTGTGTTTTTTCTGCTTTAATGAGGCGAACTGCCTACACCTTCCCCGCTTTATATTAATTCATGCCGCAGACCCTGCGCTCCAACTACTTCTACGAGGTAAAAGAATGTTTTTGCTTCTCAGCAACTCTCCAAGTTCCACGGATTTCTTGTGACTCAGCACAGAAAACCAGACTTTATTTCAAGGCTCCTCGAAAATCTTGCTTAAAAGGGAGTTTTGGCATTTTGGCAGAATCCAATTGACCTTGTAATGCCAGTGGAGGAGATAAGAAACGTCTTCGACTAGAAGTGGCCTGAGCTGATTTTCAGTTTTAAGGAATGATTGTCATTATCCTTGTGGATCTAATAGTGAGATGAAACCCTCATAAATTTCAAGGCCACACCCATAGTGAGGCACCAAGAAGCCATGTTCCAGGGACCCAGCAATTTCTGAATCCAATGAAAACAAAGGAAGAATGCAAAGGGGGGGACCATTAAAAGATCTGTTATTTCACAAGAAAACTATTTTTAATGTTTTGACAAAAAACAATTCATATAAAGCATATTGAGATATCATTCAAGTAGACGTACTGGTATTTTAAATCGAATTTCAAAATCACGCAAACTTGTACACAGATTGTATCACTAGCTTTTCAATTTTTTTAATCAAATGCTTATGTAAAACATGGATAAAAGTCAGAATTTGAGACTGTTTAATGTATAAGTAAAGATATTTGACAATAAAGTGATTAACAGCAAGACATTTAAGCAAATGTCAAAACAATATCCCTTCCCAATAAAAATATTAGCAAAAGTATATTCACAGGATTTTAAAAAATAAAAAATAAGTGTTGACATAAATGAGAATATCAAGAAATATCATGTATATTTCAATGCCATATGTTACTTATATGTTTTAATAATATTTTTAATAATGTATTCCTTATATTTCTATATAATGGACTTACCAACTCAATAATCATTTCATAATTTATCTTTGCAAACATAGACAAATGGCTCCCAGTGGTTTCCAGAGATTCATTTCTGTAATTACTTTGTATGTAGTTAAGCATCCATTTCCTTTTGTATGAGCAGGATTTCATTCTTGCATTCTATGTCCCTGTTTCCTCCATAGTACCCAAGTAACTTATATAAAGAAATCAATATTCATCCTAAGTTTGAAGTATACTTTTCTGTTAACAACACTTTTCTGTTATACTCCCTTCAGTTCATCAGGAAGACTAGCAAAATGAAAATAACTTGAAGTGAATGAAGCATAACATATGAAGGTTTACATAACAATTTTATTTTTTTTTTACTCTAAGAATATAGATTACTTCAAACTCATTAACTCATATCCACTGGGAACTACACAACGAGGTTTTAATATCAACATGTTCTGTTACTGTCTAAATTTAGAGTTGAGGTTCTTACCTGAGTTTTGTTTAGTATACAGTTATCTTTTAAATACAGGAAATGTATGACAAGCTGTCGGGATAAATCATACCAACAGTGGAAAAGTAGGGGGAGGGGGAGGAATCAAGTCCACTTTAAGAAGAAACCCCTGGTCCTTCCGTTCCCCAGACCTGCGGTAGTTTTGTTCTGCATCTCACAAGCAACTGCCCTTCCTTTTGCTCAGAGAACAACGCACGCTCTGCCCCAGCAGGAAAATATAAAAATTAAATAGAAAACCACAAGGTTATTAAGCATCTTACCCTCCGGGCTCGCGGGCTGCTGTGGCGGCTCAGTGTTACAGACACGTGTAAACAACAGAATTTCCTGCATCCCTTCCTCATCTGAATGGCTCTGGGGGGCTGGCCAACAGGAGTATTTTCAGCATTAAGACCACTCCACACTCACTTGCAAAAGATCCCCATTGGTTGTGAAGTTTTATCAAAACCAATACCACAACACCCTCTGTGGATCACGGAGAGCTGACCGAAATGAAGTCATTCCAGGGTTCCCTCACTGAGGACGGTTCTCCCACGCCTGCCCCACAGCCCACTTGAAACTGAGTTCTGTGAATGAAGGAGGAATAACACGCCCGCCCCTTCGTCCACAAGTTTGTCTAATGTTTAATAATGATCGTGGTCACTGGCGATAGAAAGAACACAATATAATCGCAACAGGAGGTGTCTGTCTGCCAAGATTACAAGAACCAAAGGAAATAGCATTGGTCTAATCTGATTTTTATTAGAGGGCCCCCCTGCCAAAAAGAAAAAAAAATTAATAAAATATTTGAGGATGCAAATCATGACACACACGCTGTCTGACAGAAGCTATTGCTTCAGTCGTGTTGGCAGGACGGTGAGCGGCTGTCCCCAGGGTCCCCTGCGAGAGCTCTCGGGCCCCCTTCCCTGGGGGGCAGAGGAGAAAAAGAGTGACTTCCCGGGGACATGACACAGCCGTCAGAAAGCGTTCTCGTGGAGTGAAGGGGGGCCACGGGAACGGACAGCACAGGACGCCCAAGGAAAAGAGAGGGCTGAGCCCACAGCGGCACTCTGTTCCCTATGAACAAAGAGCATGGGAGCGCTGTGCCAAGTGGGGACTTAGTGTCTTCAGATTATTTTATAGTCTTCCTCCCTTCTCAATGTGGAGGACTATTCTCAGCGGAGTCATGTTTGTCAACTCTACTTAACACCATCTTTGCGCCCTGTCTGCCTGATGCGGCGGAGGGGGTGACAGTTCTGTGGAAGGCCAGCTCACCTGCCGAGGCTTCCTTCCCTGCACCCCCCACCTCCCCACACCCCACCCCCTCTTCCCAGGAAACATGCTCAACCACCACTCTCTCTCCTCTTTCTCTGAACTCTGCCTGTGGTCTGGATGTTCCCCTGATATATTTTTTAAGATTTTATTTATTTATTTTTAGAGAGGGAATAGAGAGGGAAGGGAGGGAGAGAGAGAGAGAGAGAGAAACAACAATGTGTGTTTGCTGGGGGTCATGACCTGCAACCCAGGCATGTGGCCTGACTGGGAATCGAACCTGCAGCACTTTGGTTTGCAGCCTGTGCTCAATCCACTGAGCTACGCCAGCCAGGGCTTCCCCTGATATTTTAAACACATTAGTTCTTCAGTAAATTTCACTTCTGCCAGTGAAGTTCACTTCCAATTCGGTCATTTTCCTTGTGGGTCCCACTCTCCTCCCCTTCACGGTCACATGACTGAGGGAGGTCTCAGCAGCCCAGGGCGGCATTCACCTGCCGTCCCCTCCCTTGTGTGCACCAGAGTGACCGTCTCTGAGACCACACATGGCGGGTTTTTACAGCTGGTCGACTCTGCTCTCAGTCCTCACTCCCCTGTGGTGGACTCGGCCTTCGATGCTGTTCACGAGCCCACTGACACCGAGTCTTCTCGTCTCCTCCTCTCTTAGCATAACGCCGTCCTGCTCTTCCTCCATCGGGCTCAGGTCTCTACCCCGACCTTGGCGTGGTCTCTGTTCCCTCCAGTCCCTCCGTGCACGTCAGGGATGTTCTTGTGGAAATCTGCTCCCTCTCTGGACAACGTCGCCCATTCTTGGGGCTTCAGTTACCCTCTGTCTTTTCAGAGGACTCCCTTTATCGACGTTTGAGTCCAGTCCACTTCTGCGTCTTCCGCCCTGAGTCACATCAGCACGCCAGAAAACACCACACGCCTGCCGTCAACATCCATAAAGCTGAAACCATCAGCCGTCTGTGGACTTGCTCTGTGGTTTGCCTGCAGAGTGCCAGCCGGTCCTGTGGTTTACTAGAGAGAAATCCTGGGAGTCATCCTGGACTCCTTTTCGAGCCTCCTTCCAATCTAGTATCACTTCCTCTTGGTTTCATTTCCATCACATGCTCAGTTCTCTCCCTCCCAACTGCCACTGCCTGTCCCATAACAAGTGCTGATGGAGGCAGGAGGGAAAGGGAAGAGAAATTCAGCCTTGGCATTTTCCTCCTTTGCCGGCCCGTGGACGCCTTCAGGCTGCCAAGCACACTGAGCAGGGCTGATCTGTGTGTGTGTGGGCTCCAGTTGCATTCTACAAATGAAGCCTTCCCTGGGAGTTCTGTAATTTGCGGACTCATTATCATTCCTCCTCCCCCTCCTCCCCACAATACATTTTTATTTTTGTTTGGAGCAACTAGACAGTCAATTAAAAAAAAAAAAAAGCTTATGGTTCCAAGATTTCCATTACAGACACACACAGGTACATGGTGCCCTTTGGCTGGTGACACGTGAGTGGGAAGAAGCCCGATGAGCAGTTTTGGCAAGGTCCGTCTCCCTGATCTAGAAACCAGTCCATTTCAGCCTGCTTCCTCCTTCCCCGGACAGAGCTGGAAGCTGGAGAGGGACAGCAACTCTCCCACTCACGGCGTGGTCCCAGTTCAGAGGGACGCCACCCTGAGAATGGTGTGACCGGCCTCATGCGGTGATGTGAGGAAAAGGGGACGTGACCTGGTTGAGCCACCAGGTTTAACCTGTGGCCTGGTTTACAGAATTGGGATCTTGTAACCATCTCTACGTGCAGAAGCAATGGGGAAAAAATAGTAATCAGAGCTGATTTTACTCCAGATCCTTATCGCCCAATGGGGAGTCCAGAAGGAACCGTGAAATTGAAAACCCCGCAGAAGTTCTGCTCGCCTCCTCTGCTCCCCATTTCCACGGAGAGTTAGGGCTGCAGCTAAAGGCTGGATTTGTGTACCTGTTTCCCTGTCTGTTTCCCCAACAAACCGTGCATTTCTTAGTGACATAATACTGCATTTGCCTTTGACTCTTTTACAAATCAACAAATTAATGGATACGTGAATAAGGTATAAATGGACATTCTATAAAAGCATTAAAAGAAACAAAAATTATGAGAGTATCTCAGAACTGGACAAGGGGTAGAGAAGAAAACAAATTAGGAAGTTATACCTTTAGAACGTTGAGTACGGTGATTTTTTAATTACTCCCAATTTTTTCTACTTTCATCAATTGAAAGAATAGCACCAACATCACATGCTCACATATGTGCCTCTCAGTGGCAAAGAAAAATAGAAATACTGACAAAGTAAGCTACATGGAAAAGATTTTCTGTGGACTTAATAACCATTCGACTCAGTTGCACTGTTAAATATTAATTGAAACAATTTTAATGGCTTGAAAATATTTGTAGAGTTATCCTAAAGCAACATATAACTGTCTCAGTAACTGAATATGTCTTGCAAGGAAGCCAATTTTGGTTTTGATTCAAAGGCACTAGGTCATTTTCAACCCCAGATTAGAAACGTGTGTGCACAAAATCACACAGCACACTGTGATTTCACAAACACATCCTTCATTAATCAAGAGGGTCCAGCTGGGAAGCTGCCATGTTTCATTGCACTAACTTATGCCTACCCACACGCATCAGCCCCATAAGTCAGAACATCAATATGCGAGTCTCACTGCAGCACTATAGGAAAAAAAAAAACCCTCTTCCTTCTCACTCTTAGAAACAGGGATTGTTATTTCACGGTCCCGAATTCCTTTACAAACGCAATGTATATTTTCTTTCTTTTTTTTAAAGATTTTATTTATTTATTTTTAGAAAGGGAAGGGAGGGAGATAGAAAGAGACAGAGAAGCATCAGTGTGAGGTTGCTGGGGGTCATGGCCTGCAACCCAAGCATGTACCCTGGCTGGGAATTGAACCTGCGACACTTTGGTTCGCAGCCCATGCTCAATCCACTGAGCTACACTAGTCAGGGCTTCACAATGTATATTTTCTAAGGAAATGTCTAAGCTGTAACATAAGACTGACCCGATGTTTTTTTAATATTATGTCAGTTGAGGGACAAATTAAGAAAGGTAAATCTGATCTACAATATAGCACTCTTAGAGGAGATCTTTGTTTCAGACAGAGGGGAGTTCAAGTATCAGTTGTGAGTTCTCACAGATAACTCACCTCCTTAGTTTATAAAATGATGTTATAACCTATAGATAGATTCTAAGGGTTAAGACGAAATGCATATGAAGTGCTTAACATAATCCCTAACATTAAATAAATGAAAGCTATCATGAGTAGTAATGATTTTAAAAAGTAGCTATGTTGACCTAATTACAATGTCTACAAAATAATTTGAAAGCAAATTTTTGTATTTGAAATAAGAATATTAAGCAAATGTAGGCATGACCGAATGCAATGATGTAATTTATTTTGCTACTTCTCAAAGTGGTCACTTCATAGCTGTGTTCTTGTTCTGCACCCGGCACCTGAGCCCTGCGAGAAATAACTGGACACATTACTTATGTTTTAGTAAGTGTATGGTAATATTCTTGTGAGGTTTTGTGAAATTATAATTAATTTATCTTTCTGAGACTTTGCATGTTTCAGGAACTTTCCTTGGCAAGACCTACTTAGGAGAAAATGGCCTGGAGACAAATATTACCTGTTTAAATAACCAGATATATTTTACATAATTAGGGTTAAGGACTGAGCCTTTGGATTTCGATCCAAAACGAACAGTGGTTCGCTGTTCTTTCCTCGGTTAGCAACAGTGTGATGTAATCCATGTTTCGGAAGGATTCTCAAACTCAACGCTGCTGACACTGTGACCGAATAACTCTGTCCTGTGCATTGTCAGGGGCTCAGCAGCCTCCCCGGCCTCTCCCCGCCCTCGCCCCACTCGTTACCGGTAGCTCACCCAAGCTGTGCGCATCAGGAATGTTTCCAGACATCGCCAAATGTCCCCCGAGAGGCACAACTGCTATCAGTGGAGATCCATTGTTTAAAGTGACGGAGTAGTGGAAAGATGTGACTAAGACGTAGCTTGGCTCTGCCAGTAACCATCATGAGCTCGGTCATCCAGCTGTGGCCTTGGAAAAAGTGACCGCATCTGTCTGAGCCTGATTTCCCCATACGCTGTGTATACAGTCAGGAAATTAGACTAGATCATCTCAAAGGCTTATCTTACTAGAACGTGAAGTTCCTTAATATTGTGCTCTGTCTCTCTCTCTCTCTTTCTTTCTCTCTCTCTCTCT